ACTCTAAAATAAAAAAAAATAAAAATAAAAAAATCAATGAAAAAATATCCTTGGGTAAGGATAAACAAAACAAAAAAATTCCTTAATTTTAGTGTCCTTTTTGTGAACAACAGACGCCCCAAGTAAGCTTGAAACAAAAAGAATACTAATGCTTAGGCAGTATTCAGATCTCAGCTAAGGGTCCTCACACAAGCGCGGCCTCCTCCCGACCAGACTAGCTTAGGTGGGGCGTAAGCCTTCCCTGGAGTGGCCTGACTTCCACTCTGACGCAACAGTTACTCAGTTCACCTGTAGTTCTTCCACCTAAACGTCCTGTCCCTGCTCTGAAAACTATAGGTAGCAGGAATCATCTGGTTTAGTCATCATTGCTTCCCCAGAGCTTCGCACAATGCCTTACACTCAGGGTGTATTTATAAAGCATTTGTTGAATATATGTATATATAAATGAATGAATGTATTGTATGGGGGCAATGATGAATTCAATAACTGCAAAAGTACAGGTGTATTTCTTCTTGATTTTAAACTGTTTCTGAGAAGGAAATACAGTGCTGTAAGTACGAACAACATTAGTATCAAACAAGGATAGTATGCTCCAGGGCATTCCTAAGTGCAGTTCCCAAAGGCAAACTTTCTTCACCTCTGTTTCAGACAAGCTCAGGGGAATAAAGGACGGCAGATGTGTGATCTTGCACACACTGGCCTTGCTTTAAAAAAAACCTGCAGCATTCTTGATCCCATAAATGGTACATAGGGAGATCCACAGTAGTCATGGAGACAGCTTCTCCCAGCAGTGATTAGCCATGTGACAGCATCACCTGTTTTCAGCACCCACAGCCTTCCATGGAGCACAGGAAAGCAAAAACCAGGTTAGGTCTCCTCCAGCTTGGAGTCATGCCTCTGGGAGGTAAAATCATTTCAGGATGAATTACTCAGAGAAAACATGGAATTTGTTTATTTCAGAAGTTTTTTTTTTCTTCCTGCAAATGTATTTTATCCCAAAAGAAGAAGTACTCCTCTGAACCCACCTCCCCACCCCCCACACATATCATCTTATTGTATACCAAAGAAAATTACATACTTCAGGTCTCGGAAAGCTCTGTTATACTCATTTTGCATATATATTGTACATTACTCAGGGAGCTGGGTGGAGGAGAGGGCTTTGTTGTGCATATTTGTTCTGGCTATTGTTTATGCAGGTCTGACTGAATGAGGGAACAGTGGGTATCATTTCAATTTCTGATGTCAACATCAAATTACTTATTTAATTTCATGCCTGGCGAAGCATTGTATAGCTACACGCAGAATCATTTCACTTCATTTGTTATGCTGTGTTTTCATGGCGATTGGCTTGCCTTCCAACTGACAGCTTTAATTACGACATGAATTTGATTGCACTGCCGAGGAATTAACATAATGCAACAAAGCATTTAAAGACCCTTTCTTATAACAACCCCCCACCCCATGCACACACAAATACATCAGACACATAAACACAGCCACTAAACCCTCGAGTACATTACAGGTCCACTGGAGTTTTAGCATTTGCTAGAAAGCACACAGAACCTTTGAGTCAGAGGGCTACCCATATTTTCCAACCCACTGTACTCACTTTTTCTTTAATACGAAAAGATTTATGGCAGTAAATTGTGATTTCTGGAGCTGGCAGAAAACTTTGTAGAAAATTTCTTCTAATCTACTTTGCCAAATATCCATGGCATTGACATTTCCTCCCCTCCTACATCCTTCCCTACCGTATTTTTCTTGGCCAATCGCCAGCTCCCTTCAATCATAGCTGGTGAATTTGGGCAGAAACATCCCTGAAATACAGAGATTTCTCCATGTCTAGTTCTACATTCCAAAGAATCTGACTATGGCTTTGTATTCAGTGGGACACCACCCCTTGTAGCTAAAAGGATCTCCATCAAATACAGGTAACAAGTTCTGAGACGCTGGTCAGGAGTCCATTTCACTGATAGCTCAGGACACCATCACATCCCTGAGGCCTTGCTATCCAAAAGGCCCAGAAGAGTCTGGGTCATGTATGTCTAATCTAAGTCTGTATCCAAATATAGCTTCAAATATTTATTTGATAGCAGTAACATTTTTCCAAGCCAGAAATTCCTTGAATACTCCAAACCATGGGCAACAACAGATTATGCTACAAAAATGGAATGTTTAGAAACACCTTTTTATCGGAAAGGTGTTACATTAGTCATACATTTACAGATGTGCATTTAGGGATTGGTACTGCTTTTTCATGTTATAGAAAAGACAGACACCAAGAGGTAAAGGCCTAACCTTGACCACTGAACCATTTGATGAAATAATGTTGATTTCAACAAATTTCTAATGAAAGGAGGGGGTGTTTCATTTCTCTTGCAAAATATCCAAACTATATAGCAAAAGTATCCATAGAATCCAGAAAAGCCTATGAGTCAAACTGAGGCTTGAAAAGGAGGTGTTTTTAAAAGCAAATGTTTTATTTTTTTATTTGTTTTTATTTTTATTTTTTTAAGTATATCTTTACTGATTCCAGAGAGAGGAAAGGAAAGGGAGAGAGAGAGAGAGAGAGAGAGAGAGAAACATCAATGATGAGAGAGTCATTGATCGAGCCCACAACCTGGGCATGTGCCCTGACCGGGAATCGAACCCTGATCGCCTGGATCCTAGGTCAATGCTCAACCCCTGAGCCACGCCCGGCCAGGCAGCAAATGTTTTTTTAAAATGCAACAAACAAAGGCATCACCAGCATCTGAAATAATACCATACACCCGTGTTTAGGCAAATACTTCCTTTGAATAAAAAAATGCCTTCATTCATATTTCTTCAAGTGGCAGAGTTGCCATTCATTCATATTTTCAATGCAGTAGGTAGAATTCAGAGGGATAGAGAGACTGAGAAAATAGAGTAGGAGAAAGTGTTTAGCAGTTTGCATGAGAAGATGAATACCAGAAAATGGCAGCTAGCTAACTCTGTGATATGTGATTTCCAGGCTCATTATAAACCATCTCCTGTTTAACATGGTCTTTCCATTCTGCTGGGTTTTTGGTTTTTTGTTTTTTTGCAGATTTGACCACTGCTCTAGCAATCTCTGCAAATTACCCACCTCGATCTCATTATGTTGCAAAGGAGAGCTTTCTTATAAACACTCTGCCTCAATCTCCAAGCTACCGTGGGCTGCAGGAATTGTAATAGGATGCACAGTTGAAAGACATTTTCCAGGAGGGAGAATGCTGCTGCTGACATTCCAGTCTGCAAGTGGATATTCATTAAATGCTCAATCTACTCTTTCTCACTGCCCCCCACCTGACTTTCTTTCCATCTCTGTCACTAAGCTATCACTGAAGCTACTC